TACTTCTTCTAGGCATTTTATTTAGTCCCTATTATAAGTAGTAAGAACATTATGAGTTTTCTGAAGCATTTTAATTGGTTATTAAAATACGAGTGCTAATGACTTCAATTATTCTTCAAAGTATAAGACATAGTCGATGACACAATTTGTCACATGATTATTGTAATATATATTTCATATTTATTACCAGTGGTTACATCAGTTTATTATAGGTTTATATGAGAAAAGTTTCTAAAAACATCACAAAATTTGCAAGGTTTACTACGCCCTTGCTATAAACTTTTCCCCATCACCTTAACTATTTTGATTTTTATCTCCTATATTACACAACCACTAGTTCTACTCTATCTACCAGTATCCCAGGTGATGACCCAGTGCGTCAGTGACATGAGTCATTTGTTCCTCAAGCACTTGATTCTTGTGCTCCAACTCTCCAGTCCTTTCCTCGTTTCTTGAGGTTTGATTGTAGAGTTCCAGTTGTGAAATCCTTGAGTCGTGAGTAATCATATCGTTATAAGCGAAATTAATGTGATGATGGACATCCATCACTGCCTCTTGATCTCGGGTCCTCTGTCCTTCCAGTCTTCGCACCGGTCCTGAGAGACGAGTAGTCTTACCTTTGACAATTTCCATTTTGTTTTCGATTCTCACACTTTTCTCAAACAGCTGAGACAGAGTGCCAACTTCGAAAGAAGGTGAGGGATGTGGTCGGGATGATTGACCAATCTCATACTTGTTAGCAACTCTTTCTTTTGCTACCCACCTATCAACCGTTTGTGTTATCCTTGCAGGTTCATCTTGGACTCTATGGGTATCCGAAGATGTCCCCTTTTGATTCTTCTTAATCCTTATCCATTTTGGTATGGACTTACGAGCTATACGTTTCATCTTGGCTCCTCCCGAAAATTGACGATAAAGAGTATTCATTAGTGGTAAGGAAGATGCAACTGATTCTGTCTCTTCCATGGGTTCGCTTTCTTCTATAGGTTCGCTCTCTTCCATTTCCTTAGATGGTTCGTCGGATGGTAAAGGTGTTCCATCGTCTGAGGGTATTGGGTTGAAATTAGTTGGAATCCCGGGGTAGTAAGGATCACCTGCCAAAAGAGAGGATGTAATTTCTTATTCTTCATCTGTATCTTCTAGGATTATCCATTTTTGAGAATGAGCCATGTCAAATTCCTATATCAAATATAATAATCATATATTTTGGATCACCAAGTGTTTAGTCAACCAAATATTACTTCCAAATTAAATAGTCCATATGATCTGATCATAATAAAATGTAGTTGCGCACCTACACCTAGTTGTGATAAGATCTAAGCACATATAAACTTTAGTTGGAATATTTGATCTAAATCCTTGAGATCAAAAACATTCCGAGTGTTTAGGTGTATTCTCATCGCGGGTCTGAGTCTTCATATATAACTCTATATTTCTTATTTGTTGTATTCGTGCTTTATTAATTATTGTTTGTTACTTCAGGTCTAGCTGATAAGGCACTGGCCAGTCAGGACAGTCGGAGGGTAGGATCATTTTAGCATATAGACGTTTTGAAATCTAACAACCCAAAGCGACGTGTATATCCTGTCACCGTTCCCGTAAGTAGTCCTTCAGTAGAATAATTAATAATACTTTTTATTGTAGGTTAAAGGATATACCTAAACCTAATAGAGTAAGCCCTAGACTATAGTCTTTCTTTCCTAAGAAAGTACTAGTTCACTATAGTCAATAACTTTGATACCATCTGTCACACCCCCGGCCGGAGGCGGAAACACCGGGCTGTGTAACTTCATTTTTGTATCACAATTATCAAACATACATTAAACAGTACAAAAGAATTATTATAAACTACATAACTTTATTAATGATAGAAAGTTACATTATTCATGTTTCCTAGTGATTATTACATAGTATCCGAATTATCGCACACGTCTTAACATATATATGTTCCATATGAACAGAAAGGATAACAGTAAAACTTTCCCTGTTCAAGTAACATCCCAGCTTATCAAGTTCCTGAAAACACATGCGTTTTGAAAATATGTCAACATAAAGTTGGTGAGTCCACAAGTTTTGACTCTTAGTAAAATAATACTTTTTCCAGGTTTCAAAAGTATAAATCATAGTTTAAGAGTGTCCTTCTGACTCATACTTGTCTTCAACATATAGTATATATCATAGGTATAATGGTTTACTTACTAAAAAAGTGATATACCTACAATCTCCATATACCTAAATCAAGGAAGGTTACTACATATAAATCTTATTACAATTCTATACGAGTATATATGTCATGCATAATTGTTTACTTAATGAATAAGTAGAAAACCTACAAATTCCTTGTACTTAGAGTATAAGTGTTTGAGAAACTTATACTTAACATTAATACTTGTATATCAACAAAGTATAATATTTCTAAAATTGTGCTAGCGTGAGTCCATAACCGCTGCTATATGACATACAAGACCTTTGATTAAAAGATCCCACTAATGGTTCCACGAAGGATTCTACCATTGATGCCATAAAAGATTTTGCTTGTGGTACCACGAAGGATTCCACCAATATAAATACTCTGCGTGCTTCATCGATGCCGGACCACAATAAACTTCCTCGCTCACACGAGATTAGCGGTTACAGGTCATAGGATTTCCCCTAAGACTTCCAATCTTAGTTTATGAATATAATAGCTCATGTAGACTTTATCGAGTTCCTGTAGTTCTAACAGTGAAAGCATATTCGTGTCTAAAACCCTAAGTTACTAGACTATGCTTTAAACATTACTCCTAATTTTCATAATACTTAGGCAGTACAACAACTATAACTTGAAGTAAAGACCAGGTTTTATCTTACATAAAACCAATAATAGCAACACACTTAACAAGTCAAAGATGATTTCAAATTATCAAATATATAGATCAATATGAAGTTTTAACCAACGTAAAACTTATAATAATAACATACCAATAGTTGTATAGTTTCCAAAATATTAGATATATCATAAATATATATGATTTAAAACTACTATATCCTGGTTAATAGAATTTTATGTTGATCCGAACATACGATCATATAAACATAATATTAACTTATATATAATATTTAACATGCATTTCCCCCCGAAAACATTAAAGAGTGGGGCCGTAAAACTCACCCTAGTAGCGTGATTTGATAGAATTTAACTAGAAACGGTCAGCGGTTCGTGATCGTCCGGCTCGGGACAAGGAATGCCATCAACAAACGAGAGAGAGAAAGGAAATTTAGTGTAAGGAGAGTTAGGTTCGAACTTTCTATTTATAGGATGTCCAAGGCCCTCTCACGTCGTGAGAATAATAAGCTTACATCGTGAGCTATGGCTGCATCACCTCGTAGACTTGCCATTTGCGTTTCTAGCTTCGGAAGGTGTCCGGTTGACATCTCACGTCGTGAGAATAACATGCTCATGTCGTGAGCCCTAAACTTATCACTCCGTAACTTGTCATTTGTATTCTAGCCTTGAGAAGTGTCCTGGAGCACTCTCACGTCGTGAGAATACATGCTCACGTCATGAGCTATGACAAATTAGGGTTTCTGCCACGTGTCATGCTCTCGGACTGCTAGATCTTTGGAAGATCATATCTTTTGCATACGAGCTCCGTTTTTTACGTTCTTTATATCCACACATAGGTATTTCCAAGTACCACAACTTTCTTTTAGATTCCAATAGCTAATTCTCACTATATTTTAATTTCTTATTATTACAGAGATTTATAGTATTAGAGTTTATCATAAATTCTTCATGCGAAGTTAGATTGAGATTTGTTAAAATCTTTTGGAATTCTATGGATGTGTACTTTGAGTTATACCATAAGGTTTGTATGAAAGTTCATACTTGTATTAGAATTTGCCATGAACTACATAGAAATTTTATTACTTTACTTGTTTGACATGATCATATGTGACTGTTGTTGACCTATTTTGACTGGTGTTACATTAGTTGAACTCAACATCAAAATCTCTCGCTCATGCTCTTTTAATAAATGAGCCTTAAGTTGAGCTTGAGCTCGGTGTTCAGGCTCATTTAACTCGAGCTCGAGTCGAGTTTTTAACGAGTTGATCCCGAACAGCTTACAAGTAGCTCTGCTCACCTACCCGTAGTTATAGATGTTGTAAGATAGTAAAATGATATGCATGTTTGATTCTAAAATAAAGATTAGAATAGCTTGGCTTAAAGTAAAACAACTTTTACATAATTTGGCATTTTAAGTTTTTAACCACTAATATTTTCTATTAGCGGGATAATAACTCACGAGTGGCTTTGCTCATCTATCTGTAATTATAGATGTGTAAGATAGTAAAATGATATGCATGTTTGATTCTAAAATAAAGATTAGAATAGCTTGGCTTAAAGTAAAACAACTTTTACATAATTTGACGTTTTAAGTTTTTAACCACTATTATTTTCTATTCTCGGGCGGGGCCGTTTTGTGATTTAAGGGGGTGTTTGGGATTGCTTTTGAACATCAAAAGTTCTTTTGGTAGAAAGACTTTTGATAGAAGGACTTTATGCAAAAGATGATATTTAAAATGTGTTTGGATTTAATAAAATGACTTTTGTTTAGCTTTTATATGTAAAGTCCCCAAAAGTCACAAAATGTGACTTTTTGAAACTATTTTTTTTCTTCTTTACAAAAAGTCATTTCAAAAGATATTTTTTATTATCCAAACAACTTTTGTCATTTTTTTAACTTTTTAAAAAATTTAAAAGTTCTAAAAGAAATCCCAAGCACCCTCTAACAGGGTGTTTGACTTATCTTTTTTAGAGGCAAAAATCATTTTTGAAAAAGTCACAAAAAATCAGTTTTTCTTATATCAAAAATCCAAAAGTAGCAAGATGTTTGGTAAAATGATTTTAAAAGCTATTTTTGGATTTTTGATATAAGAAAAACTGGCTTTTTGTCACTTTTTAAAAAATGACTTTTGCCTCTTAAAAAAAAACCCCTAAATCAAATAATACCAAAATCCAAGCTTTTTCCCCGTGGTACGATGAACACATAGCAGTGAGTGAAAGCAGAAGCAGCCATCAATCAGATATACCCATACATATATGTTAGATTGCTGAAACCCCCTAATAGTAATAGTAATAGTATGATATAATGGTGTTTAAAGGTAGATTTTTCTCTTCAAAGAAATCATCCGGCACTTCAAGCCCCGAGGGATCCAACAGTCCTCGATCTATTGGTTCTAACTCAAATTCTCCCATCAGATCCGAAAAGAAGAAACCCAAGTCGGCAAGTAAAGAAGATCATCATCGGCCGATCGGTGGCAGTTCTTCGTTCCGTCAAACTCAAGTCAAAGATGGCTCAACTTCAACTTCAAACCTAAAGCACCAGAATCAGACCAGGAAAGACGTAACAGTAGGCACTGAATCAAAGATTCATGCTCAGACTCAGATTCCAGTCAGCACAAGACCTAGCTCTGGAGCAGCATCAACATCATCCAAGTCGACGCGGGAATCTGCGGCGGAAGTTCCGCCGACGGTTTCCCCAATATTGGCGTCTTCACTTGGGCTGAATCGGATCAAGACCAGATCGGGGCCGCTGCCGCGAGAGAGCTTTCTGGGGTTCAATAGAGATAGTAATAATAACAATGCTAATAGCAAAATGTCTTCGCTTGGGGCCAGTAATCTTTCTAAAGCAAAAAACAGCGCAGGTGGTGATGAGGGTAGCTTCAAAAAGATGGGGATTGCTGCTGATAAGAAAAAGATACCTTCTTCTTTCGAAAATGTTGATCGGGGTTCATGGGCCGACAATGTCAGCGCTTCAGACGCCACCACTAAAAGCTTGCTTTCAAGAGATCAGAACCCCAATGTTTTAGGCCGTTCGCCACTACGAAATGTAGAATCTTCATCAGAAGCTGGTACGATTTGGATAACTTCTCATGATGTGTTTTTTTTTTTTCTTTAATCATCTATGGTGTTTCCCTTTTATGTTTAGGTTTTAGATAATAGACACACCAAATGGTTAGCTTAGTGACTCTGCCTATGTTCCTCCTCCGACCAAAAAATTGAATTTTGGCTTTAATCATCCGAACCTAAAACTTTCCAAATTATAAGATCGCATACATTCCATAATCTAATACGTTTATATGGCTAACTCAGTCATGGAACTATTCTAAACTAAAAAACAAATTGTTTCTAGGAATGCCTCAACTTCAGACAGTTAGCTGTAAATACTTAAGTTAGTTATCATGTTATGCGGATATGTATTATTTGTTAGGGCAAAACTTGTAATTTCTAGTACATCTGATGGCCTGTGGACATTCTAGTTGTTAGAGGTACTTGCTTTAAGGCATATGATAATTTTATATGTTTGTAGTTTATTGAGCATTTGTTGAAATGCTGATACGTCGTGTAGCTTTCTAATACTTACTAGAAGACGATCATTCAATAAATTATTGTTTGAATCAATTATGATGATAGGGCGTCTGAAGTCAAGGGGATACTCTGGAGGGTTGAGGAGCTCAGAGATTTGTACACCAGAGATGAAGGTAATAATGTTACTTAATTTAACATTATCTTAGTTAGTTAGTTAGTTGTTTACGTGTAACTGAAACATTATATTTTTGTGTGTTTGTAGACATCATATGATTGTGAGAACCCGAAGGAATCTGAATCACCCCGGTTTCAAGCCATACTCCGGGTTACAAGTGCTCCTAGAAAGAGATATCCCGCGGACATCAAAAGTTTTTCCCATGAATTGAACTCAAAAGGTGTACGACCTTTCCCACTTTGGAAGCCTCGAGGTTTAAATAACGTAGAGGTAGGTTTATTATGTTGTATTGTATATTTGTTTGTATTAAAATAAATAGTTGATTGATTTAAATTTGGAGCAGGAGGTTTTGTCAATGATACGGGGTAAGTTTGACAAAGCAAAGGAAGAAGTAGATGCTGATCTTCATATATTTGCTGGAGATTTACTTGGCATTCTAGAAAAGAATGCAGAAAGTCAAGCGCAATGGCAGGAAACTCTAGAGGACTTACTGGTGTTGGCTCAGAGGTGTGCCATGACATCTCCTGGAGAGTTTTGGTTGCAGTGTGAGGGGATTGTTCAAGAACTGGACGACAGGCGTCAAGAGCTCCCCATGGGTATCTTGAAACAGCTTCACACCCGAATGCTCTTCATACTCACAAGATGTACAAGGCTCCTGCAGTTCCATAAAGAAAGCGGATTGGCTGAAGATGAACTTGTTCTTCAACTCCGTCAATCCCTTCATTCAGCAGATAAACGTATTCCTCCAAGACCCTCAAAACCAAGAAAATCTTTCAGTCAGGAACAACACGGGATGCTGGAACCCAAGAAAGAAAAACCCATACAACAACATCCTGCAAATCCTCCTACTGTAGAAATACCTAAAACCTTGGACTCGGGTAGAGACCGAATGGCTTCTTGGAAGAAATTCCCATCTCCTGGACCTGGACCAAAAAGCCCCCAAGAAGAAGTTGTGGTCAAGGAACAGACTGATACAAAGTTGGATGCTATTATTGAGAGGGTAGCCAGTGAAAAAGATGTGGATCTGACTACTACTACTACTACTATGAAGCTATCGCCTGTTAAAGATTCACAATCTAGCACGCCTTTTAAGCATCAGCATCGAGTTTCGTGGGGGTGGGGGGATCAACCGAATATCTCTGATGAAACTTCCATCATTTGTCGGATTTGTGAAGAGGAGGTTCCGACTTTACACGTGGAAGAACATTCTAGAATTTGTGCGATTGCTGATCGTTGCGATCAGACAGGTATACGTGTAGATGAACGGCTTGTAAGAGTTGCTGAAACCCTAGAAAAGTTAATGGAGTTGATTTCACAAAAGGATAATAGAAGTCCAGATGCTGCTAAAGCAAGTTCAAGTGTTACCGAAGACTGTGATTTCATGTCCCCTAAGCTTAGTGATTGGTCACGTAGAGGTTCAGAAGACATGCTTGATTGTTTTCCTGATCAAGCTGATAATTCTGTATCAATGGATGATCTTAAAGCTCACCCCTCCATGTCATGTAGGACCCGCTTTGGTCCTAAATCTGACCAAGGAATGACCACATCATCTGCTGGCAGCATGACTCCTAGGTCTCCATTGATGACACCAAAAACCAGCCAGATAGACTTGTTATTGGCAGGGAAGGGTGCCTATTCTGAACATGATGACCTTCCACAGGTAGGTATTAGGTAATAGGTTCTTATTTGTTATGAGATATAGGCATTGATATTGAAATCTTTGTAGATGAATGAGCTTGCTGATATTGCTCGATGTGCTGGCAATACGCCATTGGATGATGACCGATCTTTGTCGTATCTGCTGACGTGTCTTGATGACTTGAGAGTCGTGATCGACCGGAGAAAGTTTGATGCCCTGACTGTCGAGACATTTGGAGCACGCATAGAGAAGCTTATTCGGTCGGTGATAGCATTTTTATAATAAACATGTTTTTTATGAGGCGTGTGTTTGTTAATTGTTAAATGTTAATTGTTACAAGCAGGGAGAAGTATTTGCAGCTGTGTGAGATGGTTGATGATGAAAAAGTTGACATCTCAAGCACGGTTATCGATGAAGATGCTCCATTGGAGGATGATGTGGTACGGAGCTTGAGAACCAGCCCTATACATTCCGGAAATAAGGACCGCACTTCCATTGATGACTTTGAGATTATAAAACCGATTAGCCGTGGGGCATTTGGGCGCGTCTTTTTAGCCAAAAAGAGAACCACAGGAGATCTTTTTGCTATAAAGGTACCTCACTCTTTCTCTTTCTCTTTCTCTTTCATTTGTTTATTATATATGATATATTTATATTTAATTTTTTTGCAGGTTCTTAAGAAAGCTGACATGATCCGGAAGAATGCGGTTGAGAGTATATTGGCAGAGCGTGATATTTTGATATCCGTCCGCAATCCTTTTGTGGTAATAATATATGATGATGATGTTTAATAATATTGTCTTTTTTTAGAAAATATAAATACTTAAATTGTGACAGGTCCGTTTCTTTTATTCTTTTACTTGTCGCGAAAATTTGTACCTTGTCATGGAATACTTGAATGGGGGTGATCTATATTCGTTATTGAGAAACTTAGGCTGCTTGGATGAAGATGTTGCTCGTATATACATTGCAGAAGTGGTATGTTTTTATTTGTGTATATTTCATTTCTTATCAACTATCAATGCCAATTATATGATATAAACTGGACTGAATTCTTATTTCAAAATAACTAAAAGAAAATAAAATTATAGGTCTACAATTCAACAAGTACTAAATTCAATTTCTGCCTACCAAATCCCTGACCCTAACGCCTTATATATATATATATATATATATATATATATATATATATATATATATATATATACTATTATTCAACTTGGTCACAGTAGGTTGTTACGAAAGAATAGATAGACTCTAAACAATAAAAATAACACTAAGCCCCCTACAATCTAACACCCTTTGATTATTTTAAATAACAAACCTCTTCCATAATGCAAGTTTGTATGATTACTTCCAATTTTTTCTTTTGTGGAGGATATTGCTATAAATATAATTGGGTAGAATAGATTTTTGAAAGTAGGATGCCATAAATTATAATAGACAGACAAATGAATGGAAGTTTGTTGTTGAGTTTTGATATATTGTGCACTGCAGGTGCTTGCTTTGGAATATCTACATTCTCTACGTGTGGTTCACCGTGATCTAAAACCGGATAATTTATTGATTGCACATGATGGTCATATTAAGGTAGCTTATCTATCTCTTATAAGTTATAACTTGCTTCTGGGTTTGGGTTTGGGTTTTGGTTATAAACATACAAATAACTATTCAGTAAGCATATGCTTGGATAATTGTTTTGTGTTTTGTGAGCAGTTAACAGATTTTGGGCTATCAAAGGTTGGTCTAATTAACAGTACAGACGATTTATCTGGTCCAGCAGTGAGTGGCACATCACTATCACTATTGGGTGATAATGAGTCTCAGTCATCTCTATCATCTCCATCTCCATCTCTATCTCTATCTCTATCTGCCACTGAGACTCAACAAGAAAGACGCAAAAACCGGTCTGCTGTTGGAACTCCAGACTATTTGGCACCCGAGATTCTTCTGGGAACTGGACATGGTTTCTTCACAAATCACAACTAACTTGATATAATAATGACACGAATTGCTTATAAAATCTCATGCATGAAAAAAAAATGTATCTTTCAGGTACATCAGCGGATTGGTGGTCTGTTGGTGTAATACTATTTGAGCTGATTGTTGGCATTCCTCCTTTCAATGCAGAGCACCCTCAGGTGGGGTTGGGGTTGGGGTTCCTACTTTCACTTCTTTGTTAGTTGCTGTAATCTTACCTTTTCTTCACTGTTTTTTCAGATGATATTTGACAACATTCTCAACCGTAACATACCCTGGCCTGCAGTGCCTGATGAAATGAGCCCTGATGCCCAGGATCTCATTGATCAGTAAGAGAAACTTTTTAATTATCATCTTTAAAATTTAAAATACATTTTTCTGAATTCAATCATTGTGCACTGCAGATTACTGACAGAAGATCCTAACCAGAGACTTGGAGCTAGGGGAGCAACCGAGGTCTGCTTTCTTGATCAACATTAATCATTGTGAACAGGAAGCTGAATAATTTGATAAATGCAACAGGTGAAACAGCATCCATATTTTAGGGATATTAACTGGGATACCCTTGCCAGGCAAAAGGTGCATTAACTATTAAACTTTGTTTGATCTGATGATTTAAAAGAAAGTAGAAATAATATTATGTTTTGTGTCAGGCTGCATTTGTGCCTTCATCAGAGAGTGCACTGGACACAAGTTATTTCACAAGTAGGTACACATGGAATAACTCAGAGCAGGTATATGCAGCAAGTGAAACAGAGGATTCTAGTGACGATGGAAGCATGAGTGGTAGTAGTAGCTGCCTAAGCAATCGTAATGATGAAGTGGTTAGTAGTAGATTTTATTTTTTATAAAAAATGATTGAAACTTTCAACTTTTTTTATGATTTTCTTTCTGTTTTGTTTTGGTCGCAGGCTGATGATTTTGGGGGTCTTGCTGAACTTGAATCCGGAACTTCTGTCAACTATTCTTTTAGTAATTTCTCCTTCAAGGTATGCCTCGCCTTTACATCTTATTTATTATATGAATTCTAGTCAAATTAATAAAATTAAACACTTTAGCCAAAAAGGAAATGGGTCCAACAGTTTTTGTTTATGTATTTTAGTTTTTACCCATAATAGCAGTGTACTTACATTCCTTTACCAATAGTAAACTGCAACAATTCTTTTATATTGATTGTATAATATGATGTACAAAGAGATCTTTATATATATATATATATATATATATATATATATATATATATAGAGAGAGAGAGAGAGAGAGAGAGAGAGAGAGAGAGAGAGATAAAGGTTACTCATAGCTACCCTCTAGATTAAGATTACTAGACATAACTAAACTAGTCTAATACACGCTAGCTTGGACCGTAGGAAGAGAAACTAGGAGTTGGTAATTGTTTTGTGAAGATATTTGTAGTCTAATACACCAAGACTTCCCCTTCCCCGAGCAACATTTTCTCTAATAAAGTGAAAATCAACTTTCACATGCTTTGTACGAGCATGAAAGATAGGATTAATAGAGAGGTAAGTGTCACAACATAAATTGGGAGTTGAGGGTCCAAGTTCATTTGGAGCCAAGTAAGTTTAGCTACTGTATAAGCAAGTGCTTTGCACTCTAACCCGGTGGAAGATGAAGAAATTGTTCTTTGTACTTTAACTATGTGATGATCGTTTGGGTAACCCGGTCGGCATTCGAGAATGTTGTGAGAGAAGAGATTAGCAATGGAAGTATTTTGCTTACGAGCACTACTGGTGAAGGCTTCAAGTATTGGGCTTGAGGTTTGACGTATAAGCATACCATGAGCAACAGTGTTGCAAAGATATAACGTATAATCCACTTAACCGTAGACCAATGGTTCTTTATATAGGCATGCATAAATTGACACACTTTGTTTACCATAAATGTTTTATGTGATGTCGGGCCGAGATAGTCACGCATTGTAGAACACCAACAATGTTTTGATATTTTATTGGATCGGAAAACATAATGTAACACTGCTCGAAGTGGATGTGATTATGAGCAAGGACATAAGTTTGGACTCGTAAAGGCTAGTCCATTGTAAAAGTTCCTTTGGGGAAGCATGACATTTGAGTCATGGGGAACAATTTTAAGACTCTAGAAGTAGTTAAGTGGCCTCAAGTCTTTAAGGGAAAAGGCCTTGGTGAGTTGATGGACAATGCGTGATCAATAACCACCATCTTATTGCCCATGACTAATGTCATCGACATAGACCAAGTAACCTATATAGAGCAATTCCCTTACGTGGGTAAATAAAGAATGAGGGATCGGTCTTGATGCCCATGAAACCAAATGTCTGTGGAGTGGTAGAGTTTGAGGAAGTCTTTGAAAACCATGTTTGTGGAGCCTGTTTAAGGCCATAGATAGATTTGTAAAGCAGACAAACGTGGTCCGGGTGTTATGGATCAATGAAACCATGGGGTTGCTCCATGTAGATGGTTTGTTTGCGAGTAGTGAAGCGTGTTTCAACAACGTGTCTATGACAACGCTCAACAAATCCGTTTTGCTCACTAATGTGAAGACAAGATCTTTGGTGAACAATTCCAAGAGACAAGGTGACAAAGTTTGAAGGTGCTGTAGTCATTTGATTTTCGAGCTAGTAGAAATATCCACATCTACTGACTACTGAGAATGATAATCAACACATAACATAAAGTGATATGGCCATCCGAATATATTAAATCTAAAATTTTATTGCTTCGAAAAGAAGAAATGGGTAGAAAAAGTTTGCACAATTGTCCCATTAGACAAGAGGTGCAGAAAATGGATAATGGTTATTTGTAACAGGAAGTGAAAATCTAGATAACAAAGAATGTAAAAGACGCTCATGTGGATGACTAAGATGCTTAGAGGATGCACGAGCAGCAGAAAGAAAGACTTTGTTGATAGAATGAAGTTGAGGAAGACGAAGTGAGTAGAGACCATTTTCATTGGGGTTATATGTAAGGGTAGATTCATCATTCACAAAAAAAAAAAAGGTTGAATGAAATTAAAAAATATACATGATTTTCAAGACAAGTTTTTCGAAGATTGTTGGTGTATTCGGATGTATGGAATATTAGAGAGATGGAAGGTGTTGTGTGGTCAGGGAGGAAGCAATACAAAGGATAGGAGAGATGATCCATGCTTTCATGGTTGGTTGCTCCCTGTCAACAACATTGGCATTGAGACTAGTACGAATAGTAGAGGAGTCAAACGATTGCAAGTGCCATAATAATAATAATAATAATAATAATATGTGTTTTGTTTCATTGGAGACCTTACTAAATGGGTTGTTGATACTTGATAGCCTACCATAGGAAGCTTTACAGGCGGTTAGGCACCAATTGAATTGAAAGCCAGCCAATAGGACGGACCAAGATTAAGATTGTTGCTCGTGGCGTGAATTGACGCATGTAATCATGATCGTTGAGTAGGGCGTGTAATGCAATAGGGAATTATCACGCAATGAATTGATGGTAGATATGAATGAGACTGTTGGCTGTTGCATTCTTCCTCAAGACCAGAGATGGTATTGGTAAGCATAACTAGATCTTTGTGTAGAAACAAGTGCACCTGCATATTCTTGTGCATATTCTTGTGCCCCTTTCATAGGCTCAATTTTGAGAAGGTGTGTCTTCAAGTTGTATTCTCACGTGCATAAGGCAAAGCAAGAGTTTGTGAGTGGTGACATCATTGACATGATGGAAGGAGGCTTTAGAGATAGTTGAAGTAATCAGCATCGTTGGATATCCAAATTGGATATAACTAAGATCGCCTCTTGGAGTGGGGGGTTTGGGATGGATTATCCAGGCACAGGCGTTTAGATGGATAGGGAATTGTTCCATCAACACAACACGGTTGATAAAGAACAAATGGATGATATGGAGCCGCCCAATGGGTCCAAACCATTTATGGTTTATCGAAGGAGATCTAATTCACGTGCCAAGGAATAATTCTGTTACGTGGGAGTCAGTTAGAATAAGATCTATATATATCAGTAGAATGGGATAGGGAAATCATTCAGAAAATTCAGGTTGTTTTTGTATTCGGCTTAGTTGCTTGGGCAGGAAGACTCATTTTGAGCTTCTCTGATTGAATAAATTCAGTTCTCCTTTTGATTCTTCTTCCATTCTTTCTTTTTTCTTATCAACGGTCGAATAAGTTGTCTGCAGTAGCCATACTTGGTAAGTGCAAAGGCAAACTTGTGGGAGTTATGATGGCGAAACAGTAAATGCTAGATTTTTAGGGTAGGTAAACCTTAGACTATGAGACCATAATAAACCACAATATCTTGTATATTGATTGCATAATATGATATATGTATACAGAGATCTCTATACCTAGACATAAATTTACGTATATGTCTCTAGATTAAGATAATTATAAACATAACTTAGGGGTGGCAAACCGGGCCATCGTGTCGTGTTTTTGTCTGACACGACACGATGTCGTGTTTTTTTTCAACTAACACGAAAACGAACCGATTAAAAAACAACAAACACGACAAAGATGACATAATATAACAATTAATTTATTTAATTAATACATAATCATACATAACACGGCAAACACGACTGACAAATGCTAAATCGTGTCAATTTCGTGTCGAATTTTGAACACGAACACGACACGACATGACGTCGTGTTTTTTATTCTTGATACGAACACAACACGAACACAAATTCAAATTTCAATTTCGTCCCAATTTCGTTTCGTGTCGTGTATTTTTGTCGTGTCGTGTCATCAATTGCCACCCCTAACATAACTGAACTAGTCACTAGCAACAGCATTTTTGTATATTTTATTTTATACCCCCTGATTTCAATATATAACCTAAAAGTTGTGAAATGTACCATAATAGCAAACTTACTTGCATTTCCTTACACATAATAGCAACATGCTTATGATTCCTTACTGATAGTAGCAATGTACGTAGCTCTTTTTATGAATAGTAGCAACATGTAACAACAAACTACATTGCCCATCAACATGTAAAATATGTTACTATTATGGGGGTAAAAACTGTAAATACATTGTAATTACTTACTTGTTAATGTGCTTATGTTGCTGTGATATATATATATATATATATAT